GCCACTTCTTGACGACAAAGGCGCGCTGGTAGGTGGCGGTGGGCGCGTGGGTGGGGGGCGCCGCGAGGCTGGCGCGGTCGCGGGGGAGCTGGCGCTGCAGGCGCTGCGCCGTGCCGGGATACTGCAGCGCGGCCCACTCGCCCGCCTGCGGCCCGCCGTGCGCGTGGCCGAGCAGCCGCAGACGTGTGAACTCCATGCGGAAGAACGCGTCCTCGTTGTCGGTGGCGCGGGTGTCGGCGTCGGGATACACGAAGTCGCCCGAGGCCAAGGACGACGCGGACGAGGACGACACAGAACTGGAGGCGGAATACGGCGACGACGCGCGCGCCGCCGAAGCCTGCGCCCGCTTCCTGAACCGCTGGAAGTTTGAGCAGAGGGGCGGGGGCTTGTATGATTTCCGGTGGGCTTTGCGCGTGCTCCCGGAATCTCCGTGGAGAAGCGGAGTGGGAAGGGGGCCGAATGCGGGCAAGATCAACTGCTGCGCGAGCTTGATCGGAGAAAACGCCTGTGCAATGGCCCACATCTGAGTATGGTTGGGAGTGGTGGGAAGTGGTGGTGGGGATGTTTCTTGAAGATGGCGATTGCGCCGAGCCGAGTGGATGACGAGCGAAAGAGGAGTAACTTACTTGGAGATCGATTTAGATTGGGGGCTAGGCAAGGGCTAGGTGGCAGGCGACGCGCCTTCTTATACCGTTCTCCAAAGCGCGCCACCATTGTTCAAAATGTTTTCAGCATATTCCATGGATGTTCTACCAATCGTCGATTTATTGCCGGAAAAGGCAAGTGTGCCACTCACCAAAGCCACTCCGTTGCGCAGGGTCCTCCGTCGTCCCGTGATGGCGCCTGATAACGCCCGCCCAATCCCGCCGCGGTCTTCGAGACGCCAAAGAAGAACACCCGCCTACCACCGTCCGAACAGAAAATCCGCGCCGCCCAGTGGATACACGACTCGGAACTCGCGTCCGCGCAATGTGCTGCTCGTGCTCTAGGATTCGTCGCCGGAATATGGGGTCGGACCTCGGGTCGCCATTCACGAGCCCTGCTTCAAGCGCAGCCCCGGGCTTAATTCGGTGGGGGGGGGGGAGGGGGAGGATACATGGTGTCCAAACTGTGAGTACAATTGCGCTGAATCTTCGTCTCCTCCTCATACACCGTGCTGTTCCTTCAAGCATTATGCAAATCAGTCCAAAAACTCCCCAGTATTCGGGTTGGTCTCCTAGCAATATCCTTTCCCGAAAAATCGATTTAGATCTGAGGTGGAGTTTCCTGGTGGGGCCATCGTGCGTGAGTCAGAAGCTTACAGCACCGCGACAACGTCGAGTAGACTCGGAACGACGCGCGGCAGGAGAGGCGGATGGGGCGTCGACATTGGAGATGCGGCTCTCAGTTGAAAAAGAGTACTCCAGCCGTTGGAGTGTAAATCGCAAATCAAAGCGCAAGTCACTGTGGCGGTGCTAACATTCGGTCGGATGTGATCGGGACGGTTTCACCCGTCAGTCAAAGCGAAACATACTTATGGTGGAGGTGAAGGAAAGGCAACCTTGGCGCGGCGGTGTTGGAATTTTTCAGCTTTTGGTTTTTGTTCTTTTTTATTGCTCTTGGTGTCCAATTCAAACGGCTCAACAAACCTCACTCCAAGTTTCGGTTCAATTGATGCTCAAATTTCGTGTAAGGAACACAGGCTCGACCTATGTCTTTGCTTTAAATACCTTTGAATGCAAAAGCATTCTGCAGATTGAGGTGAGGATACTGAAACGGAACATTTGACCGACAAAATAGCTTTACCACCGGACCAGACTGGTTCGAATGTTCGACATCTCTGTTCAACTTCTCACGCAAGGTGGTTCCGAGTGTACTATCAGTGACTAGGAACCTGGCCATAGGCCAAATGTAGCACCCTAGAGTGTGTAACATGTTCCCCGTGCATTTACACAATGGAATATGACCCATTGCGCATCTCGAGACCAAATTCCAACGCAAAGTAATAAGTTGATCCAAAGCTGTGCTCGGATTGATCGCGGTCCGGAGGGTGAGAACGTCAATTTGGTAACTCCGAGCAACCGTCTCGCTTGTTTCTCGACCAATACTTGGTGGATCTGGGACTTTTGGGGTTCGTTCCGATGGTAGAATTTGGGGCTTCCTTCTGAGTATGCAGCACTCGGTGGAGAGCTTGCCCTGCGTCATCCAACTCACCAACACAACGGGAACAAAAACTCGATGTTCGCAAACTGAAATTTGAGATCCCGAGGGACTCTTGAAGACTATTGTTCCAACGCCTTGCAGTGTCCAGAAGAATGGGTAAGGCTTCCATATCCCCCATAATACGACACTTGAACGCTTTCCCATCCCTCCTGATATGACTACAGAGAGAAAATCACCGATTTGACCCCAAAAAAAAGTTTAAATGTCGGGTTCTCAACAGTAAACCTCGAAGCTGGAGATATTAATTCAGGTTGGTCCATTTAGTCCCAATGAACCTCCCTATGACTTATTTTGGCGTACAACCCGTTACCAATGGCGCACCACCCCGATTTAGATGAAAGTCCGGATCCCGCTGCCAAAGGCTTGTGTAAAATGTCTCCGCTACTCCACTTTTGCAAGTCCGATGTATGGTATAAGTGCCCAGAATACATTATATGGATCCCATGTACACTATAGGAGACGGTGGGGACCCACATTGGCCACCAACAACGGGCTTTCAGGGGTGGCCAGGATCCCTGTCAATTGCCCTTTCGGGAAATCCTTGAAAACTAAATTGGTAGGGCACTCAAAACGGCACCGAAAATATCGCAAATATGCTCAATTTCTTCGCAGTACCCGCGGCTATTGCATAGCGCCCACAAACCTGGGAAAATATCCCGTGGTCTATCGCAATGGGGCCCAAACCCCTTAGGTGGCCAGGTTCCCAGCGCGATATAGTAGACCAATGCGTCGGCAGAGAGATTTGAGCGTATGAAAAGGCAAGAACGAGCTCACATGCGTTTCGGCAGAATTAACCACAGAGAATCGAGGGAAATTGAAGACATATATGCGAGCGAATTCCATTGGTAACGAATTCATTTAGGATGTTTTACAAATGTTTTAGACGCCAAAGCACAGTGGTTGTTGAGGATCGATTTACCACAAAAATCGAGCCATATGTACAGCAGCATTATTAAGTACAAATTAAGTAGATTTCAAACGGCACGTAAGTCCCATGGAAGCTTTTCTTTCCGCTCCGCGTTGCGTACTACTACCTTGGCATGGGGGAAATTACGGATGTAAGCACCCAAGCCAAGATATTCAGCACCTGAGTCGTCTATTGAGATTGGGGGTCCACTTGCTTGGAGACCACTCCAGGCCATGCATTATGTTGTTGCCCAGCAGAGATTGATCCGTGGAAGGTTTCCGCATATGCATGTTTTGTTCTCCAGGCAGAATCAAGAACACAGAACCAACATAATTGGACGATGAGTTCTTCCCAGTCGGAGAATTTTCAAGACGGTGGCAGCGGCGAGACTTGAGCCTTCACGTACTAGCTGGTTGGTGTAGAAGAAACGCAAGAAGTCCCCGGGAGGTAGTGAAAAAAAGGAAGAAAAAGTCAATCCAAGTGTCAAAAATTTGAGCTTTGAGAGACTAGACGGGAGAATTCAGTCTGCGATTTGTATAGACATGGCAGCACCCACCGGTCCGACAAAGTTGGGCAGTTCATTTTCAGTTGTTGTAAGTACCGAGAACGAACAAGATTGTAGTGCATGATGAAGAGAGTCCATGCGGGATGCGTGCAGTGCATTGGCAGTAGAATACGGCAGGTCACGAACGTGTGAGGATGGGGCAGAAGAACTGAGAAAGAATCATCGCGTCAACATGGAGAAACTCTGGGCGGTTGTGGGGTATGTATGGCTGCGTCTGAGCATCTCCTGTAGATTGTCGTCCGAGATGATTTCATCCCTGATCATGAGGTTAGCACGCACATTCAAAGACATTTTCTTGGATTGGATCCAGCGTAAAGACATCGAGGGAGCCAGAGCTATTCACTGCGTTCAGTCGCTCAGTAGCCGAAGCATCGCCTCGCCGGGGATAGCCGATCCGTTCCGGCTAGCCGGGGTAGCCACGTGCGGCTAAATTTGGCTAGGCTTGGCGAGCGCTCGATACACGACTACCCAGACCTCACAGAATCTAGCCACGTCTCCACAATGACCTGGCTATGAGTGAGGTCGGTAGAATACGAATGAAATTGATGTGTGCATGCCTCTAGGGTAGGTAGCATCGTCAGAAAAAGGATAATTTTGATACGACTACCCTTGACTACCATTGCAACCTAGATCAGAGACCATTGACTAGCTCTTAGGACAATAGCTATATCATCTTGTAGAGTCCAATCCTAATGCTACATGCAAGCTCGCTCTGGCTACGGTCGGTTCGCGCCTACCCAGACATGGCCGTTGTCGGGCTATGCCGGATCGACATCCCTAGCCGCGCCTAACCGGGATTCGGCTACTTCGTCATGGCTACCTTGGGTAGCCTCGGGTGCCTATAGATAGCCAGGGATTCCCACGGCGGCCCGCGTCTCGCAAATGGCCTGGCTACTGAGGGCCTGAACGCAGTGATTCAAATGAACGGTGATGACCGGAGGACTAAGGCTTCAAAAGTTGCCTGAAATGCAAAATTCCGGCTCCAAGAAGCGCAAAGATGAAGAAATGTTAAGGATCCTCGCAGAACGTCGTCAACCAGGTATTGAGCAGTGGTCCAGGTAGCCACAGCGCTGCAGATCTATCCAGCCTTGTCGGACAGGCCAGCTCGTTGTGAATATAATCATTACTTACAACTTGAAACCGTCCCGTTGCCGTGTCGGAATTGGATAAACAACATAAAAAATGACGAGAAAGTGTCTCCAGGTCGAAAACTTGTAGCGACGAAAAGTACGCGATGCTGAGTGGTGTGAGCTCCAAGGCTGGTTACCTGTTTACAGGTGAAATGAATTAAAAAAATAGGGCAAAAAATGGGTGTTAGGCGAACAATGCTTTGGGAGGGAATCGAACCCCCAGCGGGTCGAACTTGGTCGACGACGTGGACGTCTGCATCATTTTTAATGCAATGTCGCTCCCCGGTTTTTTTTTTTTTCCGACAACAACACAGATTACCACTAACACACCAAAGCAGTGGGGAAAGGAGGGGAAGATGCCCATAGTCGAGGGGGACGGTACATGGAAGAAAAGAGACGTGCGATCAATGCCATCAAAAAACATAGAAAAGGCAGAAGAGGGAAGTACGGAGAGAAAGTACTCGATCATGACTCACCGGTACATTCGAAGGACGCTTGGATAGTTACTGGTTGGGTACCAGGGCTGAGGGGAAGAGATTTGAGGATTCGAGCCAAAACAATCGAAATCCCGAGTCAGGCAATGTTGAGGAGAGTCTACGAGCATCCGGACTTGAGGCAAAGGCAGATACAAGCATAGAGAGGCAAGGGGGAAGGCATCCAGTCGAATCTCAATTGTTTGATGGCCACAACTTGAAAACAGTATAATTTGCAGTGAAGCAGTGGGGGCACATGCAATCCCACGTTTGCAAGAATCGTGAGCTATAGTGAGAAGAAAATAGCAGCAGAGAGCTATCGGTGGTAAGAAGCAAAGACTTTATTTGGAACCAAACAAATCAACGTCCACTTACCCCTACTTACCCCTATCCCTATGATAGAGTCGACTCTGCTCTCAAGCGTTCTTGCGTTCACAGGTCAGTCCCTTAGCATATACACGCACTTTCCCTCCTCTTACCCAGCCAGCTACCGTTTAAACACCAGTCAGCATTTTGGCTTTCTGTCACTATCGAGCCCTCGTAGTGCTCGTACTTACCTTTTCGTTTTTACTCTCTCTTGGATATCAACACTGATTTCTTCTCCGCGTGCATTTCTGTTGCTGCCACCCCGCACTGGCAAGACAGCAACAGCTCGCCTAAGTACCTGTCCGACTCCGACCCTCGTGTCTCCCACCCCGGTACCCACTCCGGCTTTTATGGTTTGCCCACCAACCCCCGCTGCATCTACAAAACAGGCAAGGCGTGGCCGGTGCCTCCGGGCCCCGAGGCGTACCGCGTGCACAGGGAGGCCCGCCCCATTTTTAACCATGACATCCAGCTGGTTTGGCTCCAACTGGGCGAAGCAGTCTATGGACTTCTCGATTTCCGTAAGATCAAGTGATCCACCATCGATCCTGTCGGCTTTGCCGAGGAGGGAGAGAAAGCCGGTCCGCTCCATCTGTGGATTGGCGTCGAACCCGGGTCTCTGTCCTCTGAGGACGCCCAGACCGCGGCTGAAGGCTGTAAAGGGATCCTCGCCGAGGCTGGCTTCCCCGACGTTGAGATTGCCTTCAGGGAGCCCATCTACTCTCCGTCCACCGGCCCGAAGCTTCTCAAGCACAGCGTCTCCATCGTCGACCCCACCGCCGACTTTCGTAGCCCCCTCATTCCCGCTCTTGGCGTCCAGATTGCCCCCAAGAAAACCCCTCATTTCGAGGGCACCGGTGCTCTGTACTTCCGCGAGAGCATCGAGAGCGACCGGGCCTTCCTTTTCACCTGCCGCCATGTCGCTCTACCGCCGCCAGTCCACAAAAACCACCTCTATGAGCACAAGAAGACCGGCAAGCGCAAGCCTGCTCAAGAGGTTCTCATCCTTGGCAGCAAAGCCTACTCAGACGCTATCGAGGCCATGATGGCCAGGAGCTTATCAACGTCGAAATATACGAGAGAGAGCTTGGGCTGTTGGGGGAAGCTGCTGAGGATGCCACGATAACTAAAACGCGCCAGAAGTTCCAGGACAGGGTGACGAAGGCGAGAAAGACGATCGACAAAATCAACGCACTCCATACTGAGATAACCAAGCACTGGACTCTGCCGAGGCAACGCGTGCTCGGTTTTGTCATTTACGCCCCTCCAATTTCCGTCGGGACCGGCCCCAAGAAGCTTACAGAGGACTGGGCGCTGGTCGAGATCTATCGTGATAAGATTGACTGGACGGGGTTCATGGGAAACGTTGTATATCTGGGTGCGTTTCGATCCATCTCACCAAAGTCGTCTAGGCTGACTATTATATCTACTTAGGCATCCAGATGACACCTGGCAACTTCGCCTCCAAAATGCACCCTCATCCCGAGGGCCGATCTTCCTTGAAATATCCCGACGACGGCCTCCTGCAAGTCAAGGGCTTTGTCAAGGAAGAAGAAATACGCCAGCCGACGCAGCTCGACGCCAATGGCGAGGAGTGCTTTCTCGTCGTCAAAAACGGTAAGACCACTGGCGTTACTTTCGGTCGCGGGGCTGTACTCGAGTCGTTCGTTCGCGTGTACGACGAGCACGGCATCGAGAAGACGTCGATCGAGGTCGCCATCTACCCTTACAGCAACAAGGATGGGGCGTTCTCCGCCCCTGGCGACTCTGGGTCGATCGTCGTTGACGGGGAGGGACGCGTCGTCGACATGCTCGCCGGCGGGGCCGGCGCGACGTAGCCTACCTTACGCCTTATTATTGGCTCGACGGGCGTATCAAAGAAGCCTTCCCCGACTCCTTCTTCTACCCGAACAAGGCGTAGGTCGCGACGTCGACGCACAAAAGAAATGCGATCAATATGATAAAAAATATAAGAAAAGGCGGAAGAGGGAAGTAGGGAAAGAAAGGGCCCAAGTATGACCCATCAGGGTAATGGATGAACTCTGGGACAGTGTCTTGTTGACCTGAGCCGGTGCCAGGTCTGAGGGAAAGAGATTTGGATCCGGAGATTTGAGCCAAAACAGCCGAAATTTCAACTGCGGAGAATTTACGAACTCCGAGACTTGGGAGATGTATGTACCGACCACGTAGATTGAGAGAAACAGCCATAGAAGCATAGAAAGACCATCTAGTTGAATCTCAGTTATTCGAACGTAAGGCCACAAGACGACATAATTTGTTGAAGTACAGTCGGGGAGATCCCGCGTTGACTTTGCAAGAACACGGAGCCATAATTAGAAGAAAGCAGAAGAGAGCGGGTGAGCCGTGGATAGGAGTAAGTACAGAAGTTGTGGAAGTGGAAGTGAAGTAGTGGAAGTGGAAGTGGAAGTGGAGCCAGTGGAAGTGGACCCGTGCCATCACCAGGGACATGATGTGACCTGTCGTAGCCACTGATGCGCCCCGACGCGTTCCCAATTAGGCAATGGGTAGAATGCATTGTTCGCGCCAGTTCGTGCCACCTGCGGTTTTTCATTTCTATTCTCTACCACCACACTGTTCCCAATTTCAACACCTTTTCTGGGCCGGTAAACTGGAACCTACTATGCTGCCGGGACCTGAACTTTCGGTCTCCAAAGTTGTTGCTGCTGTTGGGAAAGAGTGTCTGGAAGAATACATGGCGGAGGTCCGTTTCTAATGTGTCATTCTTTTCGTGTAACTGACCCAGTATCAGATATTTACACCTGAATTAATTCAACTGGGGTATTACACGGAAGAAGTACAGAAACCTGGGTGATCTTACCAACTACTTTCCGTAGAGCCCCTATATTTTAATTCCATTTGTTCCGTATTTCCAAGATCCCAGTGCAACTATTACACGGCCAAACGGAAGTTTTGTGAAATCTTAAGATCAGTTGTTGTAACTTTTCCTAAGACCCGAATAGCAACATTCCGTTAAGTTATCCTTACGATAATCGTAACAATCTTTTTGTTCCGGCATTGTTAAGACTTTCCTTATCAATTTGTCAAGACCTGTCGCGCTCTGTCGCGCCGTAAGAAATACTGTAAGACACCGGCACGGCAACCGGTGATGCCCGACGCTCTGGAACGCTCCATTGCTATTTCAAACTCCGTCGCTATTTGTTTGTGGTTCAAGTTGGGCACGTGCAATCTCTCTTCTCGCCGACGCGCTTGACCACTCTGCACCAATTCCTCCCCACGCTCCCTGCGCTTGTCCTGCACCGCGGGCGGAGTTGAAAGGTTCCAACACCAAGCAAGACTTTGTGTGTCACTGGCAAGACAGCTTTCAAGTATTCCAAACAACCGGTCTCGCACGAAGCATCATGCTGGCAAATCTCGGAATTTCTCTGCTCAGCTCATCTCAGGTTAACATGAGGGTCAAGACTGCAAATCTAACTCTGGTAATACCAAGACCTTCAGAAGATGTACAAAGAACTTGTTGGACCTTCCTCTCAAGCCTGCAAGATCATCAAAGATATTTTCTGCAAGACCATTTCCTCTGCCGTGTCCCAAACGCCGCACGCCCCGGCTCTTTCCAACAAAATCAAGAACACCCTCACACTGTTTGCTAGGTTTGTGTCTAGTATTCTCTGCTCCCACCCTCTCTCAGCAGGTCATACCTAAAACTGATGTCGCATGTGAGTTGGCCCCCCAGTCGCCAACAGCACCAAGCTTAGTTTATTATGTTCTTATCTACATGGCTTCAATATATTCTGCTTCTCTCCTCCATGAATGTCCCTGAGCTGTATGGTGGGCAGCGCTGCCAGGCTAATATTCCAATTGCGACTTATCCCAATGGGGACCATCAGTCTTAGAATAATCTTACGATCCTGTGTTTTAAGAATTCGTAACGGGTCCCCAAGCTCGATTATAGTAACGAAATTGTTGTGAAATATTAACTCCTTAAATTTTAACGAAGCGTTAAGTTAACGGTGCGGCCGTGTACTTGTACATATTTTTTGGCTGCTACCCGGCTTGGCTGTAAATTACTCCTACCGCCTGAATTCTACCATGAAATCGCATGACCGCCGAAGCGCGAGTTCCATCTCGGCAAGGAAGGGCGGGCTTGGGCGGGCAACGGTGATGGCCAACAGAACAATGGGTGGCGGAAGTGTGACATTACGTGGTGGAAGTGGAAGTGTTCCAGTGGAGGTGAGATCCCAGTGGAAGTGACTTCCACTTCCACTGGGAGTCAGAAATGGAAGTGGAAGTCACTTCCACTTCCACAGTTCTGGTCATCCCTCCGTGGATAGTGGCAAAAAGCAGAGTTTAGGAGTTTATTTGGGGATCCAAACAAATCAGAACGTGAACCACGATCATGACAAGAGGTCGCAAGAAAGACCATACAATTCCCGCATCGCGTGCACTGACTCTTCAACGCGACTACCGGGCGCGCAAGTCACATTATATCGCAGATCTCGAAGCCCGGTGCCAGGCGGC